AAACGTTCTTGTACTTCCTCATCATCAATACGCTTCTGTCTCATCAACTTCGCGAGATTTGCCTGCAATGATTGCATCATCATCTCAGTTTCATCAATCCTACCTCCTAAGAGTCCGGTGACGCTGTATATAAGGCGAATCTCCTCTCTTATCATACTGCGCAATATCTTCAACGAAACTACATCATTGTCTTCTATAGGATCTGCTACATTGCACAGTCTACGATGATCTATATCGTATTGTCCATCAGGAGTGACTTTGAATCCTTCTCCTGGAGGACCACGGCCACCAGCAGTCCTCACAGGATAATTGTTTCCACTCAATTGGCGTCCAAACACATCAACACTCATATTTCAAATGATGAAGTATCAGTCTTACAGGCTAATAAATAATCCTAGCCTCCCGTAATTCCTCCAATANGTATTTCAAATGATGAAGTAGGAGTCTTACAGGCTAATAAATAATCCTAGCCTCCCGTAATTCCTCCAATATTGACATAATTTCATTGGTATGACTCATATTCCCAGCTGATTGGGACGCCATGAGCAGTCGCAATCTATCCACAAGTTCATTGGGATCATCCCAATATACGTAATCCATTTTTCTAGGTTTCTTTGATGCGATCATATGACGAGGAAGTGCTCGTCCAGTTTTGGTATCGATGAGGTTTGTAATAATGTTTTTATATTTCAATGTGCTACTTGTTCTTAAAGGTCCACCAGATTTGTAAAACATGCGATCGGCATTTGTACTCCGTATTATGTCACCATAGGTATGCTTATCAGTTTCGGTTATGAGAGTCATGTTGGGTGACTTTTTAAAGATCAATTCAATTAGACCAGGGGTTAATGTATATTCTTGACCTTTAAGAGTCATTGAATTCCCATGGAAATTGACCACAGAATCACCGATTTTCATATCGTGCTTCAACATACGTACACCGAATTCTTTATCAAAGTCCTTCTTTCCATGCTCTGTATCATATCGATCCAGATACATTCGAAGCAGATTCTGTGTGGCTACAGGAGATTCTGACTTAGTGGATGGAATACGATCAGCTGGAGTCATGGTCTTTATTGGGGTTATTTTTTTCATAGGCGTACTCGTAGATGGTGTTTTTGGATCAAATGGAAAATCATCTACGGATTGATATTGGGATGAATTATCCTCATCATCATCATCCGTATCTTCCGATTTTAGAATAGAAGTATCAGCGGTTTTGCCTTTTTTCCTCTTTTTATTTAGAGATTCCTTCGTTACCGATTGATCCACTAATTTCTCGAGAGGTGTTATTACTGGTTTGAGTACTTCACTCATAGTTCTTTCAGTGGTCTCTCTACCCAATTTCATCATTTTATGTTTACGACGAATAGCATCACTCGCTTGAGTGATACTCCGTAATACATTTGTTTCCTTTTTAAAATTTTCGCTCTGCATGTTAACACTTGTACTGTCAGGCAACAACTACTGTCAACTCCCAAAATTAATGTATATTTATCTTACTATGAAACAGTCGAATCCTTTTCGGTATCGACCCTTATTGAGCTCACTATCTTTATCAATCACAAGGAAACTATATTTGTCTGCATTCCAGCATTCCACACACAAAGCTTTGAATTGTGTGAAAGACATATCAGTATTCACGTGGTCCTCATAAATATGCTTTAAATTCATTTCATCTTGACGAAAGAGTATTAGTAAATTTGTATTGTCACGCACAAGATGTTTCGGTATACGAGCATATGTTTGGCATAGATAGAAACTATCGACATTCCTATGACGTCCCATGCAAAAAAACGCTCGCATATTGTCTTGTTTCTCACATGCTACATCATCGAAAACCATGATGGAATTTGGTCGGGCGTTTTCTGGACGAATTACATCATCATGTTCACCCAATGGAAAGTAACCAATTCCTTTTATGTTGGAGAGCAAACGTTTGAGAAACTGATATTTTGGTTGATTTAGAGATTTAGAATACACATAGATATTTTCAAATCTCAAACCATTCGGGTGAACTATGAGAGCTAAGAGAGCGTTAGTCTTTCCACAATTTGAAGGTCCACAAATTACGGTTCGTACAGTGCTAGGTAACAGAGGCCCATGACGCTTTTTCTCACGCTTATTTATTTGCGTCAGATTATCAAAATTCATTATTGGAAGTTTCGTGCTCTGATTCTTGAACTTCATAGTTAATGACTGATCAAAAATGATATAAAATATAATCCATTTATAGATATCAATGCCATTCACACGTTAGCACTTGTCGTTGTATCATCCCAGTTCTCCGTCTTGAAAGCTTGCATAGGTCGAATCATATCTTTTGGGAACTATATTGATCCATCCTCCTCCATGTTCTAATAAGGACTGGTATGGAGACTTATAAATACGCAGTATTTATTTAATCATCAGTCAGTCTGTTCTGAGACATGAAAGCATCCAAACGTAAAAGAGGGCGTCAAGGTAAAGGTTTGGTAAACAGGATTATCAACAAACTTCCGGTTGAATTACATATACCAGGCTATCAGTACTGTGGTCCTGGGACGAAATTACAAAGAAGATTGGAACGGGGTGATCCTGGTATAAATCCACTTGATGCAGCCTGTAAAGAGCATGACATAGCCTATTCAAGAAATCGAGATAACCTAACTGCACGACACGAAGCGGATAAAATTCTCATAGAGAAAGCCTGGAAACGAGTTTTAGCAAAGGATGCAAGTTTAGCTGAGAAAGCTGCTGCTTGGGGGGTAGCCAATACCATGAAAGCCAAAACTTCACTCGGAATGGGTATTAAAAAAATCCGCAACAAAGGTGTCACGAAGCGGAAGACGAAGAAGGGAAGAAAACGTGGTGGTAAGATGAAGAAGAAGAGGAAGGTATCTTTGAAACAAATCATTCGAGCTGCCAAGTCGTCTATGCAACCGGGAGCTGACGCTATCAAAACCGCTCTTAAAGGAGCACGTGAAGCAGTGAAAGAAAATGGTGGCAGAAAACGCGTGCTATCCCCTCGTATCTTACCTGTACCCGCTAAAATTGGAGGTGTAATACCCTTCCTCATACCTCTGTTCGCTGGTTTGAGTGCAACTGGAGCATTGGCAGGTGGTGCAGCAGGTATTGCAAAAGCTATTAATGATGCTAATGCCGCAAAGAAAGCACTACAAGAGAGTGTGAGACATAACCAAACAATGGAAGCGATTGCATTGGGTAAAGGCTTGTACTTAAAACCCTACAAAAAAGGTTTAGGTCTCCATTTAAAAAACGTATAAAGCTACCACACCGAGCTCTC